AAAAAACAATCCAATTAAAAAATGGGCAGAAGACCTGAACAGATACTTCTCCAAAGAAGAAATACACACGGCTAATAGACATATGAAAAGATGCTCAAGGTCGCTAACCACCAGAGTAATGCAAATTAAAACCACAATGAGATATCACCTCACACCTGCCAGATATCACCTCACACCTATCAAAATCCTCACAAGTGTTGGTGAGGATGTGGAGATAAGGGAACCCTCATACATTGTTGGTGGGGTTACAAATTGATACAGGGCTATGGAAAACAGTCTGGAGGTTTCTCAAAAAATTAAAAATGGATCTACCTTTTGACCCAGCAATTGCACTTCTGGGTATTTATCCAAAGAAAACCAAAACAATAATTCATAAACATCTATGTACTCCAATATTCATGGCAGCACAATTTATAATAGCCAAGATATAGAAGGAACCTAAATGCCCATGAACAGACGACTGGATAAAGAAATTATACAATGGAAAATTACTCAGCCATTAAAAGAAGGAAATCCTACCATTTGCAACGACATGGACGGACCTAGAGGTTATTACACTAAGTGAAATAAGTCAGACAGCAAGATAAATACCATATGATTTCACTTACATGCGGAATCTAAGGAACAAAAAGAACGAACTAATCCAAAACATACTCACAAATATAGTGGACAATTAGGTGACAGACAGGGGAGGGAGGTTGGGGGCTAGGAGAATGGAGTGAAGAAGTACAAATCAGTAGTTGATAGTTGGCTACGGGGATGGGGAGCACGGCGTAGGGAATACAGTTAGCATTAATATGATGGCTAGGTGGGGGATCATTTTATGAACTATATAGATGTCTAAGCAATGTAGTGAATACTTGAAATTAATTTAAATAAATTAATTTTTTTAAAAAAGTAAAAGACACTCCTTATAGAATATTTCAAAAACAAATGATAGTATAAAAGGTATGAAAAATCAGCCAAAATAATCAGGTAATATTTTTGACATCTTTCCTATTAGTTATTTTCTATGCACCTTTCTCTATAGTTGAGACCATGTCTGGTATGAAATTTGGGTAGTATAGCATAAGTGTTTCTCCATGTTATAAAAACTCTATCACAACATAATATTCTCTCATATGGCTGTGATAAAGTTTATTTCGCCCTTTACCAATTGTTGGAAATCTGGGTTGCCTTAAACTGTGTGCTATTAGAAACAGAGCTCTGATAAACATCTCTTGGTAAAATTATAAATTCCTCGAGGTCAGGGACTGTGTTTTCTCCAATGCTTAGCACACAGCTGCTGAGCTAACAGAATAATTTTTTTCATTTTGACTTATTTTCTAAGAGTTAATTCCCTGAAGTACAATCACTGGGTCAGAGGTTATAAACAATTTTTAAGATATAATGCTAAGTTGCTTTTCACGGAAGGTGTACCAACTATCACCAGCAGTGTATAACAGTACCTTTAAAGGCAAAGTATTAGCTTACAAAGTTTTCCTAATTTGATAGAAAAAAAAGTGTGTCTGTTACATTAATTTGCTAACATTCTTTCAAGTATTTATTAGTTATCTGCAGTTCCTCAATTATGAGGCAGAACTGACTTAGTCTTTAGAATAGCAGGCAGTTCTTGAAAGCTTCGCTGGAGAAATGATGTCTAAACTGAGACCTAAAGGGTACGTAGAAGTTAGCCTGGTACAAAATACTTATTAATTACAATGGGGAAACAGCAAATTTACAGTGGAGAAAGGAAGCAGATAGCACGATACCAAAGTCATCAACATTAACATCAACAATGAGACAAATCCATATTGTATACCTCATGATAATATACTGAGAACAGAGCATCATCTCTGTGGTATTCTTTCCAAAAAAATGCATAAATTGAATCAAATCACAAGGAAATACCACACAAAATTTAATTGAGGGACTGTACTCTTAAAAAATGCCAAGGTCATGAAAGGCAAGTAAAGTCTGAAGGTTAAAGGAACCTAAGAGACATCAAAACTAAATGTAACATATTATCCTGGATTGGATCCTGAATCACAAGAGGTAGTGTTTTGTTTTGTTTTGCTTTGTCATAAATGACATTATTGGGACAATTAAAAAAATTTGAATGGGGTCTACGGATTACGTGGTAGTATAATGCCAGTGTTCACTTCCTGGTTTTGATGATTGTACCATGGTTATGAAAGAGTCTTTGAGGAAATTCATACGGAAGTATTTAGGAGAAATGGGGCATCACATCTGCAACTGACTCAAGTAGTTCAGAAAATATAATGTGTGTATATGTATGCGTGTAAACAGAAAGTTAAAGCAAATATTAACGAGTAGGGAACTTGGGTGAAGGGTATATGGGAATTGTTTGCACAATTCTTGCAACTTTTCTCTAAGTCTAAAATGATTTGAAAATAAAAAGTTTCAGTGGTTAAAATATTGTCAAATTATTCAAGAGCATTGATAATATTCAGAATTAGTGTGGGTTTGAAGAAAATGAAGCATAGGGCACTTAGTGGCATAAATCCATCATATATGGATGGGGAAAATGTAAACAGGTGGCAATTATTTTGGAGGGCAATTTTAAAGTGTACATCCCTTAACTCAATAGTTGTACTTTTAGGAATCTACTCTACAAAAATATTTGTGCAAGATCACCAGGATCTACGTATGAGGATTCTCAGTAAAACATTATTTGGAAGAGTAAAAAAAAATAGAGGCAATCCCATCAACAGAGGAAATATTAAAATGCTGTCAGCAACTGAAAAGAATGAACTAGATTATTGGTATGAAATTACACGGAAGGATGTATGGTTATGTTGCTCAGTGAAATATGAGATTAAGTTGAAAAAAGCAGGTTACAGAGAAGTATAGTAGGATTTTTTAAAAAATAAACTCAATATCTATACCACTTTGAAAATTAAAAGTACATTAAAAGAAAAAGTTTACCCAGGGGATATTTTGTACGTAAAAGCTCCATATATATAATTCAAGCACATTATTTACATAGTTTAAATTTTCTGTGATCTTATTTTTGGTTTATTTCTTCTGTCATAAACTGGCAATGATTTTGTCAAATTACCCCCTTATAACTGCTTCAATGTTGACTCGTATTTCTAATATATTTTGGTCTGAGTTAAGCGAAATGACATTCCAGAGCAGACTTTCTATTTTAGGCTCTGCCTTTTAAAATTTTATCTTGACTTTCTTTGTCCTCTCTGTTCCATGTTAATGCTTTTTGCTTTGAATTCTATTTCATTTCATATCCACATAGTCACTATGCTGGTTTTTTTTTTTTTTTTGCAGGCCAGACTTTGCCTATTCTTCAATTTTTAATCTTTCTGTATCAATTTGCTATATTAGAGCTCTTATAGGCAGTATAAGTTTGGATTTCCTTTTTTTTTTAAAACAATCTTGCCTTTCAGTAAGAGAAACGAGTACTGTATATTTGTCGTTATAATGGATATTTCATCCTGTTCTTGCTGTCCTATTTCATGCCTTCTTGCTGTTTTCAGAGATAAGCTCTAGAATGAAGGCAGTAGTAGTGAGAAAGAAAAGATGGAGCCAAGTGGAAAGGTAACGATGGTAATGATAATGATATGGGGAGTTGTAGGAGAGTGTGGCTCGTAGACGATTGAGAGGTGGTTTCCTGATATCAAGCTTTGTCAAACAGTGTATAGAAAGAGCAAAGGCCTCTTTTTGTGTGTTTTTGTAAAGGTAGAGATGATGAGTTTAGTTTAAGATATGTTCTCTGAGGTCCTGTAGGCTATGTAAGTAGAGACAGGCTACAAAAGCAGTTGGATACACAAATCTAGAGCTCATGAAAGAAGTCTGTACCAACATGTTCATAGTAATGGGAGAATGTGAACTTTGCCTGTGGTTTAAAAGAACGATTAATGTGGTGATGGTCCACATTCACGGAACGCCTCTGTCTATGGGAAAGGTGTACCAGACTTCCTCACCCCACACTTGGGACAAACAAAGCAAGGAAAATTACCTTTGCCATTCCAACTGAACTGGCATTCAATTCTGAGATCCCTTGGTTGGTCTTGTCTCCACGTTCCCATATACCGAAGTCCTGGCATAAAATAACCAACATACCATTAGCAAGTCGTCACCACTAAATGCTTACCAGATGTATAACCGTTGAATAAAAGGAACACACAGTAGCTAAGCTACCATACTTATGTACACCTACAATGCTTATTAAGGAGATGCCGAGTAGCTTCACACCCTTGCAGGGCCTCCAAAAAGTTGGAGGACTCCTGGACAGTTGATCAGGACTAAGAATTGTAACTAAGTCCATCTAGAGAGGTACTTCTTAGAATTTTACCTCAGAGCAGATACCCAGGGGGTCTAGGAAATGGAGTCTAGACCACAGGCCAGTATTTTAAACACTCATTCCAATTTTACTCGATATTGGTACTGATGATGTACCATGCACTAATCTATACACTTTCCACTATTATATTCCTTAATCATTCATTACATTTTTTATAAATGACAAAATTGAGGTGCAAAGAGAGGTTAAATGACTCACCCAAGGACACACAGCTAACAAGGGACAGCGCTAGAATTAGAGTCTAAGTACTCTCACTCCAAAGCCTACATTTTCTTTGTATTTAAATTATTTTTCAATTACAATTGGCATATATTAGTTTTAGGTGTACAACGTAATGATTAGACATTTATATCTTATTAAATGATAAGTCTAGTACCCACCTGGCACCATACATAGTTATTACAGTATTATTGAACATATTCCCTATGCTGTACTTCACATCCTTGTGACTATTTCGTAACTACAAATTTGTACTTCTTAATCCCATCATCATTTTCACCCAGCCACCTACCCCCCTTTCCATCTGGTAACCATCAAAATGTTCTCTGTGTCTGATTCTGTTTCTGTTTTATTTTGTTCTTTAGAGTCCACATTTAAGTGAGATCATATGCTATTTGTCTTTGTCTGACTTACTCAACTCAGCACAATACCCTCTAGGTCCATCCATGTTGTTGCAGATGGTGAAATACCATCCTTTTTATGGCTGAGTCATATTCCATTGTGTATGTGCTCCACCTCCTCTTTATCCAATCATCTATTGATGAGAACTTAGTTTGCTTTCATATCTTGGCTACTGTAAATAATACTGCAGTGAACATATGGATGCACATATCCGAAGTAGTGTTTGGATTTCATCGAGTAAATACCCAGACATGGGATCACTGGGCCCTTCTCTGTCTCTTGTTATAACCTTTGTTTTCAATTCTATTTTTGTCTGGTAGTATTTCTACCCCAGTTTTTTTTGTTGTTGTTTGTTTCCATTTTCATGAAATATCCTTATTTATCCCTTTACTTTCAGTCTGTGTGTCTTTCCATCTGAAGTGATTCTCTTGTAGGCACCATATGTAAGGGTCCTGTTTTCTTACACATTCAGCCACCCTATTAGGATTGGTGCATTTAATACATTTACCAAAACCTACATTCTTAAGCACAGCTCTATACAACCCCTTGATAATATAGATAACATTTAAAATTACTTTTACTAAACTTTTTATTTTGAAATAACTTTAATAAGCCAGACAAAAAAAGTTGCAAGTCACATGATACCACTTATATGTGGGATATAAACCTAAAAGCAACAAACGAACAGGACAAACAGACTCATGGACAACGGACTAGTGGTTACCAGAGGGTTGAAGGGAGCGAGGAGAGGGAAGAAAGACTGGGGAAAATTTAAATCATATCCATAAATAAATAAATGAACAAATGAATGAATGAATGAATGATTTTTAAAAAGAAAAAAAAGAAATAACTTTAGACTTCAAGAGAAGTTACAAAAATGGTACCATAAGTTCTCATATACCTTTTACTTAGCTTCTCCTAGTTTCAACATCTGACATAACCATAGTACAACTGCCAAAGCTAAGAAATTAACATCAATATGATACTAGTAACCAAATTATGAACTTTATTAGGAGTTCACCAGTTTTTCCACTAAAAGCCTTTTTATATTCCAGGATCCAATCCAACAGACAAAGCAAGTAAAAAACCTGGACTACTTATGACACATCAATTTTCAATACAATGAACATGAGGCAATGAAGAACAGTGACCCCTGAAAGAGATGTTAATATTTTATGATTTAATATAAACTTACTCATACAATAGTTATAAGTAACTATCTTTGTAAACACGAACCAACGTCTACACATAATATTCAACACATGACTCAATTTTATTTCTAACTAGCTGACCCATAATACTCCTTAGCAAATACATCCCATCAGATATTATACAGTTTGAAAGCAATGAAAGCATAGCATCTTGACCCTCTTGGCTGTGTAACTGCTTGGGGAGAAGGCAAACAGAGGATGACAAGAGCTTAGCAAAGAAAGAGGCTGAAGGCAATTTCTGCCAGAAGCCTTACAGATTGGTTCACTACAAGGGGCTGCATTAAGAGAAGAAATGGGTTGTCCAGTATTTTAAAAACACCGCATGTGTAAAATACATTACAAAATGAGTACTTACAGCAGTTTTATATGCGGCTTCGATGTAAAACACAAGGTTCTGTATGAAATTAACTTCATCCAGGCTGTGGATGATATGAAGTCCTGGGGCAAAAGAGAATAAAGATATAGTACAGGTCAGTGATGACGACAGGCTTTATAGGCAGCCACAGCGACTAAATGTCCCCACTACTCCCAAGTAATCCTACTTCTACTTAGGAATAATGGCAAGTACCTTGAATCTTAAACCATAAAAACAAGACTGCAAATCAGTGGTAGGTGTTGAATCTGTCAAATGCTTTCTCTGTGTCTAGTGAGATGATTATATGGATTGGTCCTTGAGTAGGACTGAGGGGGTAGGAAGGGAGTTCCAGACCTCTTAGTTAGACTCGGCCACACTAGAGCTTCTGCAACACAGAGCTAAGGAGAATGAGAACTGCTGGCAACCTATATCTCTCAAGAAGATCTAATGGCCTAGGGAGGGAGTTGGCAGAGAGGGAGTTTCACACTGTCTGATCCACCTGCAGTACTGCTTCTGTCCTGGTGAGCTTGGGGTGGGGACTGAGCAGTCTGTGGCCCAAACAACACACTTTCTTACTGTTCTTAAGGACATTGAGACTTCCTTGAACAAATAATTCTATACTTGCTCTATGCCCTTAGGACAATCTCCAGTGACTTTAAATGGTTGCTTTGTAAAAATTAATTTTCACCATTTATGGTTGTTTTGCCAGCATCCCTTAAGTTGTACTCAGCTTCTGTCTAAGACTCTCCTTTAAGTGAGATTGAAATTGGTAAGAATTCAAAATTGTGCAGAAAGTTGCTAAATTTTCCATGAAGATCTTTCAGACTCCATCAATCGACATGTATCCTCTTCATCATGAAGACAATTGTCTTACTAAGTGCTGCATCATTTCTTGCCTAAACTATTTTACTAACCTCATAGCCAGTCCTCCATCTTAATCTTCTGCCCCCCTCCAATCTGTCCTCCTGCTACTCGAGTGAATCATCTAAAACTTTCTTATTTACCTTGAAGAATGGCTGTCTCCTGAGGACAAAATAAACTCCAAGCTACTTAGCATAGTACATGGGCCCTTAAACAGCTAGCCCCAACTTTCTAGCTTCATCATTTGACACTTTTCCAGACCTATCTGACACTCTCAACATAGAGGACACCTAGCCTTACCCTGGCAGCCAGTATCTTTCAAATTTCTGTGCTTGTTGTCATGCTGTGCTCTTTCTTTTTCTGACTTGTGAATTTCTACATATTCCTACCTGCTCCTCAAAGGCCTGGTCAAATAATATCCACCTTATTCCAAGCATCTATCAAATGACAATCATATGTTTAAGTCAGGAATTAACAAACGACATTTGTTGAATGAATGGATATGTCTCATAAGCTTCCTTAGTATATTTCTGCTTCTTTTCTGGGCCCAAAATAAAAAATCCCAAGGGATATTTAGTCAGTCACTTTTTGCTTTGTAGAAAAACACTCCAGAGTCAGTATTAAAAGAACATTAGAAATGGAGTTATAGTTGCCAATCTATTTAAATAAATGAAACCTAAAACTATATTGATTCAAGGAGAAACCACCACTCCAAAAGAAGTGAGTATGTAGGTAGCCATATTATAATTTTAAGAAATGGTTATTCTGCCTGTGAGATGTGTGTTCTACAGGAAAAAAAGGAATGCTTTGTCACCAAATATGAATTTATGCAAAAAGTGGAGAATAAGAATACCAAAGACCTCTGTAACCAGATGGGAAAATAAATTGAAATGTCAAAAATGTAGTATACAGACAAGTGCATTTACTTATCTCAGGAATATCTGGCAACAGTCCTATTTAATTTACAAACTGAATGTAATCAAATTCATTTCCCCAATTTAAGAGAAATAAAAGGGAGTAACGTTGGGTCTTACACTTTTCTTTTTCAGGTAAAGCAGCTAAAGGTAAATAACGAAAGCTTCTGAAAAGGGTGTATTATTCACTAATAAAAAATAAACATTCCAATTCTGATTCTTGAGTTAATTTCCTTAATGTAATTTAGATGCCCATAGACAGATGTATTATTTATAATATATCTATAAAGAACAGTATAAAGTTGGTGATTCCGTTTATGTTAATACTAACTATAGGTTTGTCAGTGTATAGTATGAGAACGAGCAATCAACCTTAGTCCTTCTTTCTCATCTCATGGTATCTGAGGATTAATAAAAGATCAAAATAGCCATCTGAAGAAAATCTACCCAGATTTCCTGGTTCTCAATAAAAAATAATATATATAATTAGTATCCCAAACTTGTTTTTTGATGTAAAAGAATACCGACTAGATCTCAAAACATTGTTTCTCTGAGTAAAATTTGCAAAATATTCTGTTTCCAACGTGCATCTTTGAGCAATATAAAGATCTATGCTATTTTCTGGCAAGCCACTGTGAGGAAGCCAAGTGTGTCAGAGCAAGTGCCGCACGTTGCCGTGTCTCCCAGTACTTGTGTCCTTGTACTGACCTGAGGCAGTCATCTGTGCTAAGAAGAGCAGGTACACAGAGGTAGCATCCAACTGCAGGTGTCCCCACTGGTCATCACCCACTACCGTGGCACAGGTTTTGGTGTTGTACTTGGCATGGAGACTATCCTTGGTACTCTGACTGTACTTGAAGGATTCTACTTTATCTACCTGAAGAAAACAGAAACAGTAAAAGGCAGCTATGGAGAAAAATCAACGTGCTGCCATCATTCCCCCAGACCCATCCAACTAAGAAAGTCCCTGGTGCTGGGCTATAAATCAAGCAGTTAGAAAATAATGCCAGTCAAACCGGCTATTTCCTATTCATTGCCTCTCTTTCACTCTCCTGAGTTTGTTTTTTTGTTGTTGTTGTTGTTGTTGTTTGTTTTTTTTTTTTTTTGCCCCACTGTAGATAACAAACCCAGATGCAGAGTAGCTGAGTGACAATGGCTTAGGCAGCGGTAATTGAGTTGCAAAAAATGTACATTTGTTCCTGAAAAAGAGTGGTATGAGACTGTCTACAACTTGCATTCTATGCCTATATTTTGAGTGAGGAAACTTGATTTTTGTTTCAAATAAAACAAACAGTAAAAGGCGGCTGTGCAGAAAAATCAACGCAGGTGCCATCGTCCCCCCACACGGATCCAACTAGGAAAGCTCCTGGTGCTGGTCTGCAATTCAGACAGTTAGAAAACAGTGCCAAACTGCCTGTTTCCTATTCATTACCTCTCTTTTACTCTTCTGATAGTTTTTATTTTTTGCCACACTGTAGATAACAAACAGATGTACAGTAGTTGAGTGGCTTAGTAAGAGATAATCGAGTTGCAAAAAAGGTACATTTGTTCCTGAAATAGAGGTAGGAATCTTAAGAGAAATCAGAAGAAGAAGAAATATTTTGAAGGAGTGATGAAATGAGCTGGGGGGAGACACACGAGTGACAGGAAGATTCGAAAGAAAGCTGAAACCAGAAGTCAGGAAGGACACACGTGCAAGGGACAAGTGAACGACTCTACTGAATCAGATTTGATTAGGGGAGCCCTGCAGAGGCCACTGGTAAAGAGGTTCAGAAGGCTGGAGCAGGTTTCTCTTTCCTTTGGACTTGTCGAACGCCTGTAAATGGTCACCTGTAATCCGGACCCCAGTTTCTTCTAATAAAATGTAATACTGGTTTCCAGAAAATCGGTTCAGATTCAAGGTGTATGGCTTGTGTAAAGGTCTCGTAGGATAAAGGGAAAACACTCTTTTTAGTAAAACTCTTTGGAATGGAAAAAACAAACGAACCTACAGGATAAACCATAGCTAAAAATTATTTGCAGTATATGTGACAAAGGATTAATATCCATAAGGAACAGGAACTCCACAAATGGCAAGAGAAAGACAGCACAAAAGAGAAACGGCCAAAGGAATTAACAGGCAATTAACAAAAGAAATGCAAATTTTTAATCTACATATGAACAGACCTGCAACTTCACTGCTGAAGAGCAGGAAAATGCAAATGAATACCAGGAGACATAAGTCCTTGGCTTCTTATTTCAAATCATAAAATCAGAAACACTTCGAAAGGTTTTTTTCTTCTAAGTTTTGCAGCAAAATTCATTTGGTGGAAATACTTGATTCAAACTGACATGGGGCTATTTGAAAAATGTTGAATTCTAAAATGTATCTAGCCTCAAGAGTTTTTAGATGAGGGCTTACAGGCCCATTATCATCTTTCACTTAGTATACATAATTGCATGTACAATAATGATGAAGTATATCAGAAAATCATTTGTGGAGGGGAAAAAAAAGACTAGAAGGAAACATTCCAGTGGTAACTGGGTGGCAAAATCATGGGTGGCATTTCCCCCGTCAATTTTATAAATTTTCTAAAATTAGTGAGTACTATTTGTAAAATTAGTGTGTACTATTTATAGCATATATATATATACTATAAACATATATAAGCATATATATATATACATATGTATATGTATATATATATATGCTATAAACATTCCCTAATGCATAGAGATACTAGTACAATGTGTTTTTATTAGAGAGGGAACTGTTAACAACGCCATACCTGTCTGATCATGCAGTGCAGCAGTCCCCTCATCAGCTTCACTACACTCTGCAGAAATAAATGGAAACAAGGCTATTATAAACATCCCTAGATACAGGAACACTTACTCAGCAACTGCAGTTGGTACATGACCTTTTCAGAACAAGTAACCCTATCCTGGGTTCCTATTTACATGGCACTGACTTTGTAGGTACACAGAACAGCAGATTGCAGCTAAAAGTGGAATCAAAAGCTGCAGTTGGTAACTCCTTGGAGTTAAAAAAAAAATCCAAATTCCAATAGGTTTATGTAAAACTAAGCCAACCATCCTATTTGAGGACATTCCACCTGGAGAAACCAGACAAGTCAGTTAAAAAATCATAAAGATATGAGGATATTCTAAAATACATCCCATGGCATAGAAAAGCCGACATCACTTTTTATTTTTTTCAAAAGTAGCCAAGACTTATATTCAAGAGTCTACAGCAATATTTGTGTGAACATTTTCCCTAAAGAGTGATCTTCAATTCAGAGTAAGTATAAAGGGGAATTGTTACAACTTAATCTCTTTTTCATGAAAAAAAAAAAAAAGCCAAAACTTTTTAAGTCTTAAGTCATCACTATTTCTCTTACTAGGGCTTGGCAATTTCTAAAGTGGTTTCGTAATCCTAGCACTCCAAAATTCCATTTACCAACCATATACTATACTAGTCTTTATAATATAATGTAGTAATAATAATTATAGTTAATTATAAGATAGTATATTAACAGTATACTATGCTAATTATACTATATGACACTAGACAGTCCCACCAACAGTGGAATGGGCAGACGATATGTTTTGGAAAAACATAACACCAAACAACTTCTCCATTTCTCAAAGCTTTCTGTTTCACAGTCCAGAAGAAACACGACCAGGTTACTCCAGGGAATGCTGGCTCAGAGGTGGCTTCAGGACACCTCTGGAAATTAATCTACTTGGGAGCCCCATCATTCTGTTATTCTTTCAAAACTTTCAAGTGGGACTACAAGCAATAGGCATAATAAGGATAAGTTTTTTATTGAGGGAAAAATAAATGTTCCTTGGGAGAGAGTACCCTTTTAAAAGTAATTTCTTTCTATAAATGGTCCCCTCCCCTTACGGATGAAGAGGAAATAAGAGACAGAGGGAGCCTGTCACCTTTTAAAGCATGAGCATTTATTATAATGAAACTGCAGCCCCTATAAGAAAACCTCTATCCATTATTCTGACCCTAATGAAAGACGCCGTCCTTTAATATACTCTGTGGGGAGACTTTATTAAAATCTGAATTATCTTCTACTTGTCAGCACATACTCACTGGATTCATCACATCCTTTCAACCCTTGCTACTCCCACCTACATTTTCTTTAATTTAAATAGAAAACCTGGGGAATCAATGACCCAGTGGAGGAGTCCTAATTGCCGTCCATTTTGTCCTCCTGAAACGGCCATTGTCAGCCATTTCTGTCCTCAAGTTCCAACTTCCCAAACAGGATAAAATTAATAGGAAGCATGGTGAGGTAGGAATAAGGGGAGGTACCCGTACTTTGCCTTCTCCCAAACTGGACATGTTGTGATTCAGGGGCACTAGGTAGCATGAATTATACATGTTTATTCATGTACCAGGGCTTCTACCTACACCAAGTGACATCCTCCTCTCACCTAATCTTTTTGAGGATATAGATCTCATGAATTGATTATATAAGGATATACAGCAATACACAACCATATCTATGTATGTGTGTGTGTGTGTGTGTACATATACATATCCAGGTATATGTGCAATCAGATATTTATTTAGCATATAAAATATGCAAAGCACCCTACCAGGATTTGTGGAACATAAAAAGACAACGGAGACAGGAGAAATACACTTTAAAGAAACTAAACTACAAACATAACCTATCTAATAATTCCTAGTTATCCTTTAAAACCCAAATTCTCTGTGAATCTTGCCTTGCCTTGTTCAAAAGAACTGGACACTTCCACCTCTCTGTGTTCTCTCAGAACTCTGTACTTGTCTTCCATATATCTGTATAGTACCTACAGTATCTGTCCTAATGTTTTGTAGCAATTTGCCTTCCTATCAGACTACAAACACCTTAAGAAAAAGGGGCAGACACCAGGTTCGGAAAGAGACCTTTGTTAATGGACTAAGCAGCTTGTATTATATGTACATATATTAGACATATAATATACGTGATACATATAATATATAGTCTGTGTCTTCGAGTTACTCTCAAATGACTTATCGAAAACTCGTGTGTATTCTTGTGCTTAAAGAGAGGGAAGATGTAAATATGACAAAATGTTAATAACCAGTGAATGGAGATAAAGAGCAGATGCAAATATATTCATTTTACTATTCCTATAACTTTTCAGTAAATTTAAATTTTTTGATCATAAAAATTCAGTTAAATATAAACGTTTTGTCCCATTTTATTTTTTATATCTATTACAGGGCCTAGAATATGAGAATTCTATGGTCTGCTAAATGAAAAAGTAAACGTGCTGAATGGCACAAAACATAAGTGATCTAGAAGTCCCAAGAACGCAGTTCCGAGTGGTCTATGAGGACAAGAGCCACAGAAAAAGTGGGACTAGTGCCAGGCTTTGAAAAAGGGGTATTACTTCATATTGGAAAAGGACATGCATCACAAGTAGAAGCAGGAGCTCATCAAAAAATCTGGAGGTGGACATGTCCATGGCTTCCATGGAGGAAGACAGAATCTGAAGTCATAAGACCCAGGTTGTACTCATGAAACCACCCAATTCCAGCTTCATCTCCCTGCTTCGATCTCTCCACTTGGAAATTGGGGAAAATAATAGCTAATTTACAGGGTGTTGTGAGAGTAAAATACTACTAATTACGGGCAGTATGTAATACAATGAAAAGTATTTACGCAAACACCCTAATTTTTATTAAGGAATTGTTAGAGGAGTAATAAAGACACCAACGTGGCTGGAACCGGGAGTATATGCAGGGTAACGGCATGACAGAATACTGAAAAAGCAGGACCAGACCCTAAAGAGCCTTGCCTATCCATCCAAACGTTTAGTTTAGATTTTACTTGTTGGGAAAATGAGAGCCACAGAAAGATTGTTGGGATTAGAAATAATAAAATTTAAGTGTGGTTTTCACAACAATATTAAGTGATCAGGGTTCAGACTAGGGTTGAGGCAGAAAGGAATAGAAAGGAGGGGATGGATTCATGAAAAATGATAAGAATTAACAGACTCTGGTCTGCATGTATCAAAAGGCAAAAAGGACAAGTCAAAAATCACCCTAACGGCAGTATTTTTCAAACACTGTTTTTATAGAACAGTAGTCTAGGAAAATTCTGAAAAGGCTGTAAAATTCACCCCCACCTTAGATTCAAAATGCACATTAATACATTAAAGACTCTAAGAAATTATACAGTAAAGAAATCTGTTGGTTAACATAGCCCCAATATTCTGATTTCTCTTCAAATCGTATAAATCTTTCACCTTTTAACATAGCCCCAAACTTAACTGACCTAGTATTCTATGGAACACACTCTGGGCAACGCTGTAAGTAATGCTGCCCAGGCAGCCAGGAGACTGAGGACACCAATGAGAGAAAAAGGGACCCTTGGTGAGTTGCTCTTTGGTAGTCTGTTTTGTTTGCTGTTAGTAGGGAAGGTGGGATTTAGACATAGTCTGAGAGGCCAGAGAGTGTGTAGGTACAACTGATCAGAAGACAAATGAAAACAGGGTTCGACACTGAAATGCGGTCAGAGTTAAAGATGAACCTTTGGAAGTCGTTCTCAAAAAGGTAATAATTAAACTCATAACAAAAGATGAGAGACTACACAGGGAGAATAAAACTGAGGCAGAAGCAGAACTGGAGGCAAAGAGCAATCTGTATTTGTGTGCCTATTTACTTTTAGTGGTGTGAGTCAAAACTTATGTGACTAAGAGACAAGGTCATTTCTAAAAACATATATGCATAATTCTATTCTCAATCTAGGATAGGACAGTCACCTGAACCCTTGTACCCTTTTCATCCGGAATTCTCTTTAGTTCTGACATTATTCCTGAGTGAAACCCAGGTGAGAGTCGGAAGGCTAGAAATGATTAAGAATCAATGGTGTAGGAAAATCCACAGTAATAGGGATATCTGTTTTAAGTTAACAGTAGGTGGGAATTTAATCCGTGGATTCATTGGATTTAATCTATGCTCATTTATTGTCCAAAAATCAGTGGTTATTATCCCTGGCTGCACTTTAGAATAACCTAGGTAGTTGATTAGAAATACTGATACCTTTGGGGGTCCACTTTAAGAGTTTTATGTAACTTGTTCTAGGGTGGGGTTCAGTAAAGGTGTTTCTTTAAAAGCTTCCCAAGTGATTCCACTGTACAGCCAGAGGTTAGAAGTACTCATGTAGATTAGAGGCAAATATGGCTCACTGCCTGCTTTTAAAAATAAAGCCTACTGGAACATAACCATGCTCACTCATTTATATATTATCTTGGCAGCTTTTGTGCAGCAATGTAAGAGCTGCATTGTTGGGCAGAGACCACATGTGACACACAATGCTGAAAATATTTACTATCTAGCCCTTAACAGAGATGGTTTTCTGATACCCAGTCTGAATTAATTGAGTCAGGTTTGAGAAAAAGATTAATGAGATCTAATAACACAATCTGTTTTAATTCATAATGAAAGTATATAGAAATATTAGAATTCCCGAATAAATGTTTCTTCTCTGAAGATGTTTTCTATTGCCATAATGTTTTTGAGACATTCCAGAGTTAATACTGAGCTGGTCTGAAAAATATTTTTGGTTATGTGAAAATGCATTTAATGGAACGCTAAAATTTTAGAATGAACAATTCAATGTTTCCCTAGCTTTTTTTCCCCTTACTCTGTTAAATTCTTTCTACCTGGGGTACATAAGGAAAAATGTCAATCAACTTTGCAGAATGATTGGTCAACAGGAGAAATCAGATGTCTTGTAAAAATAATTTGGTCAAATTGTACTGAGTATGGAATTTTGAGTATTACTCCACAGATATTAATTTATAGCAGAACAAAACAAAATAATGAGAACAAAATAGCAAAACATTAGAGTAAGATGTAGGATTTGGGGGGAGGAATAATATTACGAGTGATTTTTTTAACACTGTAAATTTTCCAAAATCATACAATGGTTATGTATGATTTCTACAAGTCATAAGACTATTGATTTGCCCTTCCTGTGTTAGAGCAAAAACTCCAACATTTTTTTCTGGTGGACCTAAGTACCTCTGAATAATGGCTGAAGGAATAATAAATGGCTGCTGTTGCAGAGAACACAGTGCAATTTCTCTATTACCAAGGACTGCAACCCGCAACGTGTTGCTACCCTTAAATACAACCAAATCTCAGTATTCTGACTTATACGTAAAGACTGGAGCTCAGACTGCCTGAGTCTGAGGAATACCACTTGAGAAAATAGCTAGTATAGAGAGAATCTTATCCACAATGGAAAAGAATTAACATATACCTTACAAGTGACAGCAGCGTATGTTGACATTAAGAGTCCCATGTAGCCCAGAATATCATTTTCTATGTCATTCAAAAGCATCCTGTGTTTAAACGGTTCTAAAAAGGATGTTTCTTTACTAAGGAGAATGGCTTCAAAAGTCGGCTTAAAGTCATCTGCTGACTTTGACATAATTTTGCCCCCCTGGGGGTGGGGGAAAGGGAAGAATGGGGCTTTAGAACAGTGGCCAGAGGTATAAAAATTGACAAATTAATAGTTTTTACTTGTGGGTAGTTGAGAAGTTATGCAAATTTGTGTCAGTTACCATCATACAGATACTATCTACCATTTTCAAATATTCAGTAAAATGGTGGACACCTGCCTCCATTTTTCTCAATGAGAATATGGTGGAGACTCCAAAATACATTTCCTTAGAAAGAAGGCTAAACAGTGCAGCACAGATCCCAGGATAGGATTTTCCAATGTAACAGAACAGAGTGTAAGCTGTTGCCGTGAATCAGCAACTTTCAAGTTTCCACTGCAAATAAAAAAAGTTGAGTAAAATCTAGGAAAGATTTTGGAAATGTAATATCAGGAACGTGAAAGAAGAGGGAGAATGGCAAAATACAGTTGTCTTGGGACCTGTGGATTAGGCTACACGTTTCCCTCAATTTCCCCTGCCTGTCTTCTCTGTATTTTTATTTTTGAATACCTGTTCCAGTTCATAGGCTTTTGCCTTATCCTCATCCCGGTCTGCATTCTTCCGATAGGCCAGTCCCAAACCCCAGACAGCCAGGATGCTGTACACATTATCCCGAACCCAGGCATCTCTCTGATCATAGCTGGCTGGAAGCAAGCCAGTTACTGGATTCTGCAAGATCAAGAAAAAGAGGACAGGCAGGTAACCACGGGATGTTTCTTCTACTTCCCCACTCTTGGGTATTATAACCGCCTTTTCTAAGCAACTTGGAACCAATGGTATCTTGAAAAAGGGGAGGTAGCTGGTTGAAGTTTTACAGGTCTGAAATGTAGGCATTATTGAAAGGCAGCGTTTTAACTTTCCAATTAGAATGAGCTACCAACGAAATACCAGCATTAAAGCAGCAGAAAAAATATAAATAACAGAATATACTAGGGACCTCAGAGCTTCACAACAGTTTGGTGTTAATACGGGTGAACGTTCCCGTGCGTTTTTTGTTTGGTAGGAGGGGAAGGAGATGACGCCTAAACCCGTGGCGATTTGTCAATAAACAAGGTTTACTACATCTTTTCAACTGTGTCCCCTGAAACCTAGTTGGGGTTTGTGGGGCAGGGGCTCAGAAGCCATGGGTCAGAGCTTGTAGCTACGGGTGTGAGTCTAGTTCGCTTCCTGGCCCAGCACGTCTTTTCTTCAGGGCGCTTTACGCCTCCTCCCCCCAGTTGGGGGCTGGGAGAACTTGCAGGACACACACACACTTCCCCCCGGGGTCTCCGTCCAGGCTATCACACTGAACATCCTCGGTAAGTCTAGGCGACACTTCACGTACCTGATGGCACAAAATGGTCTGATGCACCAGCCTGGCGTAGCCGTCCAGCCGGACCCCCGAGTTACTCCGGCTCCTCATCGCGCGATGTTTGCAAGCCCTTCAGAGAAACGGCGGGGCGCCGCACGGCCCTCGGCTCTCCCACGAAGGAGGCTGGCCGCAACTGCACTCTCGCGGTGGGGAGGCCGAGCGCCAGGCGCCGGCAGAGCCGAGCCGTCCC